GCTAAGCTGCTAAGGCTGGCCTCAAATGATTTTGTGATCCTCCTGCTTCAGCCTCCTGAGTCACTGGGCCTATGCCATCATGACCACTTGTATTCCTTTTAAAATATGTGACAATTGTTGTTTTCTCTCAAGAGTAAATGGTAAGCAACAATATATGTAAACTTTGTAAAACGGTATTTAAGAAACAAAAATCAACTTCAGAACTAGAACAATTCTAAGTTTTGTACAAGCTCTGCCTTACCTGAGATAAGGCTTTGGGTGAGGATGGCTTTTGGCCTGAGCCTAACCAACTCCATTTTAAAAACTTCAGTCTCACCAGGCACATCCACAGAGCCCTCCAGTAAGGCCTCAAACAAGTTACTTCCCCTCACCCTGATAAACAGAGTGATGCCCCAAGTAGGCTGTCCTTGCCTGATAAGAAGGGAAAGGCAAGAAGATCAGGGTGGAGACCACCTGATCCCAGGGTAAATGATGTCATGGAAAAATCCAGTGGTAGCTGATAAGGATCAAAAGGGGGGGAGGGTAAAAGCCCCAAAATTTAGTATAAATAATAGAGCAAATGAACAGGGATTCAGCCAGCTGAAACAAGGATTCACTCAAGCTGGAGAGCCTGATGAGGATATGGATTGATATCCCATCACTTGTCATTATTTCCTGAGCCTCTGTGTGATCCTCACCACTCTCAAACTCCACCACCTCATCTGCACCTTGGTGAGAGCTGCAACTCCTCCTTACAACCCTCTCCTTAACCAGTCATCCACTCCAAGCCAGGAAAAGCCTGCCTTGGTTCTGGACCTGATCACCACGGTCTGAGTGATTGTGCATGTGCTGGACTTAAAGCCTAAGGCTTAAGACTTTTGATATGACATTTGAATTTAGCACGCAGAGGGAATGTCTGTCACTAGCCTGTCATAATTAAGTTTGTTTTACAGTGCTTAGAATTAATCTAGAATTGTCTGCAGTAAATTAATTAATCTAGAATTGTTTGCTGTGAATGGATAATGTCTACTGGAGTGCCTAGCATTAAGGATTGTCATTTTCTTCATTAAGAATCTATAGATTGAAATTGTATTGAGTAATTTGAGGAAATAAAGCATTGAAAAAGGAAAAAAAAAGTAAATGGTAAGAAAGGAAGGGAGTTCAAAAAGAAGGCCAATTTTTAGTAAATTTGGTTGGTATGAAAGAGAAAGGTCATAGCCAGGGGGCAATAAAAGGAAGGTATTTTGAGACTTAACATTCACTTTATATCTTTCATATACCCCACACTTTACCAGATCATTTCTACATAATATTTCATTTAATTCTCAAATATTTCAAGTATATCTCATTCCATAAGCAAGAAAGTTGTGATTCAGTAACATTAATTGACGTTCTTGTCCACAGTCACACACTCTGCTAATCTAAGTGACAAAGTCAAAGTTATACCTCAGATCTGTCTGATTTTATTTTAACCTTTTTGGTACTGGGCATTGAACCCAGGGGTACTTAACCACTGAGACACATCCCCAGCCCTTTTTATTTTTTATTTCGAGACAGGGTCTCACTAAGTCACTTAAGGCCTTGCTGAGTCGCTGAGGTTGGTATTGAACTTGCAATCCTCCTGCCTCAGCCTCCCAAGGCACTGGGATTACAGGTGTGAACCACTGTGCCAAGCTTGTCTGATTGCACATTTTGTATCTTTCCTACTTGAGTGTTTTGTGGACATAAGTTTGAAGTCCTTCGGACCCGCAAAGAGAGAACTAACTGGCATTCAAAAATACATCCCTGAAGCTCAGAAAAGAGTTTGAAATTAAAGATAAAATTTAAAAATAATCAGTTCATAAGAGCAGTTGAAGCCATGGAAAAGGTTCACCTAAAGAGAATCTGAAAAGGTCTAGGTGTCGGCCTCAAATGGAATCCCAGGGCACATATAACATTCAAGAGGGAGGAGGAGGAGGACAGGGAGGAGGAGAGGGAGGAGGAGGAGGGGGAGGGGGAGGGGAGGAGAAGAAAAGGGGAGAGAGAGAGAGAGAGAGAGAGAGAAGGAGATTCAAGAAGATTTGGTAGTCAGAGAGTTAGAAAGAAAACAGGGTTATCTAGCTCACTAGATAGCAGGTCCCATGAGGGAAAGTACACAAGCCAGGTGCGGTGGCGCAGGCCTGTAATCCCAGTGGCTTAGGAAGCTGAGGCAGGAGGATCACAAGTTCAAAGGCAGCCTCAGCAGAAGCCCTTGGCAACTTAGCGGGACCCTATCTCACAAAAAAAGAAAAAAAAAGGTCTGGAAATGTAGCTCAGTGGTTAAGCACCCCTGAGTTCAATCCCTGATAACAAAAACAAAAACAAGTAAGCAGTTCCTCTTGTTCATTTTATATCTCCAATGTTAAACACTGATGATATAAAATGAATGTTCAGCAAATATTTGTTGAATAAGTAACTGGCTGACACTGAAGCTGAAGGAGAAGAATGTTTCCAAGAGACTAGGCAAGAACATTAAATGCTTTTGGAAAGACAATGAGGACCTGCAAAGATTACTAATTAAAAATGTGTATACTTTTCTCAGTTTTAAAAAATAGGACAGGAGCAGGGATTGTGGCTCAGCAGTAGAGCGCTTGCCTAGCACAGGCGGGACCCAGGTTCGATCCTCAGCACCACATACAAATAAAGGCATTGTGTTGTGTCCACCCACACCTAAAAAAATAAATATTAAAAAAAATAGGACAATGAAAGACAAGGTGTGAAAAGTGATCACTTGATTAGACAGTGAGCAAGACAGCAGTCAACAAAAAGAAAACTAAGGGGTTGGAGATATAGCTCTGTTGGGAACATGCTTCCCTCGCATGCATAAGGCCCTGGGTTCAATCTCCAGTACCACAAAGAAAGAAAAAGAAGATTAAGTCGAGTAACTGAGAAAAGTCAACTTAGTGGACTAAGCAGTGAATGGAAGTGAGGAAGAAAAGAAAAGCAGACACTATCATTTTAAGAAGTTTGATATAGGAGAATAAGAGAAATAAGTCAGTAGTTAAAGGGACAGCAGAGTGACACAAGTTTTTGGTTTGATGAGATGACAGACATTTCAACTTATTTGTGAACTTAAGTATCCCTACAACTTTTAACACTCTAGTGTACAAGCCACTGTAAACTTGTTTGTAGTGTTTTTGATAAGCACTATGTGTGAAAGAAAAGAATTTTTCTAGGGAGGGAGGAATTTATTGAATTTTTGAAAAAGAATTTCCAAATATTTAGAAGTATTTACATTGGCAGTTTACACCACTCACCTAGAGAAAATACTGAAAAGGATAACAAAAAAATTAAAATATTTTCAAAAAAACAGAAATGACTATTACAAAGCATTACTAGGAAAAGATACTCAAACTCATTTTGAGACTAAAATAATTTGTTTCATTCCCAACACAGATACCTTACCCAAGAGAAAAAAACGTATCAGAGGCTTGAGAATGCTATTTTTATTAACTCTACAAAAATATTTTTAATATTTACTTTTTATTTGTAGTTGGACACAATACCTTCATTTATTTATTTTTATGTGGTGCTGAGGATAGAACCCAGGGCCTCACATGTGCTAGGCAGGCACTCTACCATTGAGCTACAACCCCAGCCCCACTATTTTTTAATAATAGACATTTAAAAAATATTTTTTAGTTGCCAAAGGACATTTATTTTATTTACTTATACGTGGTGCTGAAAATCAAACCCAGTGCCTTACATATATACTAGACAAGCGCTCTACCACTAAGCCACAACACCAGCCCTACAAAAATATTTTAATTTCATATTTGTACACATATTTTAAGAATTTTTCTTTAGGATCTGTCTTTTAATGTGTTTTTTGTTTTGTTTTCTAGTAGTAGAGATTGAACCTACGGTTTCATATATGCTACACAAGTACTCTACCACTGAGTTACATCCCCAGTCCTTTTTAAATTTTAAGACAGGATCTCACTAAGTTGCCCCAGTTGGTCTCAAACTTGTGATCCTTCTGCCTCAACCTCCTGAGTAATTTATGTGATTTTTAAAATTGTATATATAACATAGGAAACCAGTTCCAGTCAAATTTTCACTATTTGGTTTTTATAAATTTTTTTGTTTAGTTTTAGATTTGAGTAAAAATAAGACAATGTAAATATCATTAAGCAAAAAGGTAAGATGTAAACTAAAATAAAAATTGACAGGCAAGGTAGATTTCCAACAAAGTGAATCTAACGGAAAAAAACAGAATGAGAGGGCATGGAGAGGGTTAAAACGTAATTCATAGCTATGGACACTAGATGGTGCAAATATTTTCCAGGACTTAAATTTTATTGACCTAATTACTCAAAACTTTTAAGGAAAATTCCCCCAAAGAAATTAAATTTCTTGACTCTATGAGAAAATTGATCTTTTTCTTTCTTGTGTGTGTATGTGTGTTATTTATGGCTATAGGGTGATTTGTATGTGTACATGTGTATCTTTGTTGTTTTCCATTTTGCTTTTGCTTGGCATAAATGTGTTGAACTTGCATATTTTCCAGATATCCTAGCCCTTCTGAGTCAGCAGCATCCTGCATGTGCCTAAATGACTGTTGGGTTGATGGTGGCGATGATTATGATATGTGCCCTCATGGTTTTAGAACTAACTCAATTCTACCACTGCTAAGGAAAAACATAAAAGCGAAGTACCACAAGAAAAATCTATCCCCCAAATATTGTTGCATGGAAAATAGCAAATTTCTTTTTTTTTTCTTTTTTTTTTTTTTAAAGTAGAAGTAAACTAAACTTACTTCTATTTTATTTATTTTTTTTCCAAATCGAAGTAAATGAGGTTTTCTGATCATTTATTTTTCCAAAGGTAAATTTAAGTACCATATCAAGCTAACATCACAAAATCCCATCAACAAACTTTAGCTATCTAGCCCTCTTTTAGATTGAAAGAATTGTATGGCTTTTCTACAGTAAGTCTTAAAAAATAGCAAATTTCTGGTCTAAGATGCTAGAAATTCCTACAGAGCCATGATGAGTACTTACTTGAATTAGGGGGCCAGGATTCCCGGTATTCACTACCTGCTTGCATTCTGGGTGACTTGCTCCAAACCTGGGGAGCCACACAAAAATCACAGAAGTTATGATCAATGAAAGAACTTAACCAAGAAACTTAAATCATAAAAGGAAACCTAAAATATATACTTTTCTACTACCTCTTCCACAAAATACAAAATTTAATACATTTATCTTAATGATAGTTGTGTCAATTTATGATAAGCTTTCTAGCTTCCAATGCATTTCTCATATATTTTTTCATCCAAGGCCAATTTCATTATGGCAGAAAAGGAAGAAGAATAAGCATTAAAGAGAGATCATGCGGTCAAAAGCCACAATTAGACAACTATGCAGCTGCTAAGACTAAGAGTTACCATGAAGAGTTCCTTCCCTGGATTGTCATACCATGATGAATACATTTCCATTGAGAAGAAAACCAAAGAGCAAACCAACTGGAATCTTCATCTTTTTTTTTTTTAACGTAAATTTTTTAAATTTATATATGACAGCAGAATGCATTACAATTCTTATAACACATATAGAGCACAATTTTTCATATCTCTGGTTATATACATAGTATATTCATCTTTTAGTGCTGCCTTCATCTAAATTAAAATTCATAAAACCAAGCTTGCTCATGGAGCTTGCTTAAGCGAAACATGGCAACAAGAGAATTACCTTCCTTTCTTGTTTCTTCTGTGTCTCCATGACGTGGAGGCGCTCCATTAGGCTGGAGATGCCCTGCTCCAGGCTGTCAATGGTGTGGTGCTGAGGATCATGGCCACTGAAGCTGTTGCGCAGGCTGCGGAGAGCATCTCGAACAATCTGCAAGTCACTGGTCTGTGGATGAAAATAAGGTGCTGTTGCCAAAGTACAGTACCATATTATTAGTCATGTCCCAGCCACTGGACTTAAGAAGGTAAAGGAGAGAAGTAGATCTTTTATTTTTGTGGAAGAAAGTTTCCTCCTCAGACACAGGCCTACTGTTTGCCCACTAATTCTTAATTTTAGTTAGCTAGTGCCTCACATCTTTTTTTTAAATTTTTATTAGTTATTGATGGACCTTTATTTATTGATTTGTTTATAAGTGGTTCTGAGAATCGAACCCAGTGCCTCACACATGCTAGGCAAGCGCTCTATCAGTGAGCCACAACCCCAGCCCTAGTGCCTCACATCTTTACACATCCATCAGAAGCAAGAATTAGGGGACTAGAAGCCTAGTCAATAGGGGATGGCTGGGACACTGTTCTGGTTTCAACAAGAAGTGGCAGGACTGTGTTCTACTCCTAGGAACCTACCCCTCTGTGGGTGATGGAAGCAGCTCCTTTTCCTGCTGTTGGAAGGAGAAAACCATTGCTTTGAGAATTGTGACTGTTGTAGTTGGTTACCTGTAGCAGCCAGAAGAAATGATGCCTGTTAAAGGGGAAGTTCTGAATCAAGACACCCTGTTTTAGTTTTCTTCTTTACATTTTTATCACTTCCTGACAGAGTATATAGTTATTTGTTTAACATCTCTGTAAAAATGTAAGCTTCACGAGCACCAATGCATTTTCCCGTTTGTTCCCTGCTAAATCAATGTTGTACTCAATGCTTGCAAGGCATGGTGGATGTAGAATGAATGAAAGAAAACTTTGGCCTGGAGGCCAACAAATTAGCCTCTGTCACAGTCACTGGAGGGTCTCCTACTCTAAGCACCTCCTCCCTTTGCTTTGTAACAAAATAAGAACAGTGTAATATTTTTTGAACCTGACTGTGGGTCAGGTTGCTTAAATACAACCATATTAGTTATGTGGATTATGTCAGTAGTATTTCAATTTTCCAGATAAGTCTTGCACTTAGGGCTCATCTTAAGGTCACACAGTGTAGACACAATAAAGCTGGAATTTGAAACCAGGCTTTTTTTTTTTTTTTTATCTTGGAAGCTGCACTCTTAACCCCCTCCCCATATAGCCTCTCAGAAAACTGTCTGTGGCATTGGTTTAGCTCTTGGTGACAAACAGAATCTCCCTCTTTGCCAGGAAATGTGGGAGGGAAAACACAAAATTCTAGGTTACCTCATCTGCCTCTCTTTTCATACAGTGAGCCAAAAGGACATCTTTGTGTTCTAGTTCCCGTTCTAGATCCACCTGCAAAACAGAGATTAAATCAAAAAAGGGTTTCTTCAAGCCAAAGGGACAGGAAAACCAGTAGCTGAGTATGTTCTGACCTGCTGATGACTGGCATCTGAGAGTTTTCGGAGTGCTTCTTCCAGCTTGACCTGGTGCTGTTGAAGGAGGCGATCCTTCTGCCCCAGCTCTTTCTGTAATAGAGACAGTGCTTTCAGATGTGTAGCGAAACCCTATGTAATGCAATTACACAGAGCCTCAGCAGGCAGGCCTTTCCCCAATATACCAGGAAGGCGTGACACACCACAACAGCCTTACACAGTGCAAAGGATTCTTGGAAGGGTAAAGAGGATGGGAACTACCATTTGTAAGAGGACCACCATGTGCCATCCAAGCTAGTTAAAGACAAAGATAAACCTGGAACTGAAGTTTCCAGACTCCAGGTTCCGTGATCCTCCTAGAAATGCTATCTATTCTTTGGGGCTAGTAAATCAAGGAACAAAGAAAAAGATTTCCTTCCAGAAAACAAGGATGAAAACAGAATACTTTAGTGTTCCTTGAGCAACAGCAACAATGGGCTATTCATAAAAGGTCAGTCAGGTGGAAGTCATTTCTAAAACAATATTCATTCTTTTTTTTCCCCAATATTTATTCTTACTTTATATTCTCCCAAGAGCCGGTTCCTCTCGTCCAGCTTCCTCTGCAGATCCACCTGCGATGATATAAAGAATTTACTGGCATGTGCAGCAACCTTCCTAGAAATGAGCTATTTGGTAACCAGCATTAATGTTGGCAGTTACAGCATACAGCACAGAGAGGGCATAGTTATGATAAAAACACACAGCTTCTCTCTGTGTCTTTAAGTAAGATAATCAGACTACAGAACTACAATTTTGTCTCACTGTCCTCAAACTTCAAGAGGTCAAGGACCTTCCTGCCCAGTGTGGTATGGGCTTTCACCTAGGAAAAAAATTAATCTGATGGGAAATAAAGATAACTGCAGACACTGAAGGCAGGCATCTCAGAAGCAAGATAAAGAGACATCAGGATGGCGGATCTACAAGCAATAAGGGGTCTCACTGAGGTCAGAGATCATACATTTGACTCACATTCTGGTTCTGAAGCTCATCTTTGTCCATATTTGCCCTCAGTAGTTCTTGTTTGAGCTGAAGAACAGCTGTGTCCTGCTGAGTCAATCTCTGTTGCAAGGCATCCTGGGGGAAAAAGCATACTAATTATTACGGTTTCAATTAATCAATTAGTCAGTTATTATCAAAAGTTACTAAATCCTTGACCAACATTAGTTAAGGTAAACTGGGAGACAAAAAGAGTATACGGATCTTGCAATAAGAAGCTGACATCTGTCTTTTTTGAGGAGAGTAGCATCTAAGGAAAACTTTATCCATTGTCCTACCAACCTGACTGAAATTGGATTTTTTTTTTCACCTACCACTCTTTCCTACCCTAAACTTCATTCCTGCTGCCTGGTGTCCTGAGAATAGGATCAGATAGACCTAGACTCAAATTAAAAGTCTACTTTTGTGACATTGACTTGGACAATGAACTCTCCCTTCTCCTACCCTGGCTTTCTCATCTATATCTTGGGCATATAAATACCAATCTAGGGCTGGAGTTGTGACTCAGTGGTAGAGCGCTTGCCTGGTATGTGTGAGGCACTGGGTTAGATTCACAGCACATATAAATAAATTAATTAAATAAAGGTTCACTGACAACTAAATATATTTAAAAAAAAAAATACTGCATCTAGCTTAGCTCTTTTTCCCTCTACCTCTCTGTACAGTTCCCATTTCCTAAAGGGATGGTCCTATCCCCAATCACCTCTCTGCTCATAAAGAATGCCGGGGATCACTTCCACTCTGGCTTCCAGAGCCCTGCTGCTATCCCACTTCCACTGGCTTCCAAAGCCTATTCTGAACCAGGATTGGGATTATATTTCCACTGTCAATGTGTTCTTGGACTGATGGCTCCTCATTCCAATTTATAGGATCTTACAGCTGTAGGCTGTCTTTCCCCCAACGTGAACCCTCTTAGTTCCTACTATGCCTAGGAAAAGATAGGCTGGATGTACTTACTTGGGGCCAGCTGTAACACATTTCCCCAACCCTCATGATCTCAAATGAACTACTGCAACGGGGCTGCATTCAGTATATTTATCCTGACTTTTCTCTCTTTACAAACTGCAAAGAATGGTGCAGGCCCTGAACAATGTGGGAGCCCGTTCTTAATTATGCTAACTGCCATGACAGTACATGGCAAAGGCAGTCTAAGATGTCCCTGGCATTGGTAGTTTAGAAGAACATTTGCAAAGTGTGCTCCATGGGATGTTAATGAGTTACAAGAAAAAAGTACTTTTTTGGTTAATAATTCTAATTTTTTTTAGGTCAACCTCTTTATGACAGACCTTCTCAGATCCTTTAACATGCTACTATCCACTGGGAATCTTCAAGATACCATAGCACTTCCCAAACTTCTTTGATCATGAAGCATATTTGTGCTTTCAAATATTTCAAAACACTAAGATTACAAAATACACTTTGGAAGATGCTTCTGAGTTATATTTCAGGCTAGTCCATGACCAGCTATGCAAGGAAGAGGGGAACAGCAGAGGCTTAAGAATATCCTCTTCTACTTTTGGGTATTTATTCAGTAGAAAAATTCCACTTAGATGAAGTAACATACATTAATGGTTATTAGCTAGATCATGGGTATTAGCAAAAGATTGGAAAATAAAATACCATCAATAGAAATATGATAAATACATTAGCATATATGTGTATACTAAAACACTATGAAAATATAAAAAATGCCTAAGAAGGTCTTTATTGAAACAGAATGATCTACAGGATCCCTTGCTAAGTGCAAAAAGCAAAGTGACAAGCTGTATTTACAGTATACTACTATTTGGGTGAAATAGACATTATACATATGTATATTTTACAATATATATACACATTTGCTGATAATTGATACGTTACCTCCAGGAAAGAGAACTAGATGACTGGGGGGACAGAAACGGAAGGCAGACTTTTCCTGATCTGTCCTTTCATACCTTTAAACCACTTGAATGTTATTAACTATTCCAAAGCTAAGTAAGTAATATTTTTCTTTGGGAATAAAAAGGACATTCTTTCATATTGAAGAGAAGTACTTTACACGTGGAGACAACTGAGATGGCACAGAGGGAAATGGTAGCACCATGAATCATAACTACCAGACATAAACCTCAGCAAAACAAAGATACATTCTTCAACATGCCTCAATTCCCACCCACAATAGTACAAAGCCTATTAAAGACCCCTAGCAAATTAAAATGATTCTCCTAGCACCCAACTATTGCCACTTACCAATAGACTACTTTACCTTACAGAGACTTTATTTAAAGAATTAAATATCTTCCTTTTTACCTTTATACCCTGTAAGTTTCTGGCTTCTTGTTTACATTTCAGCAGCTCTTTCTGCAAACCAAATATAGTTACATCAGATGGTGGCATCTGGGTTGCTTCAGAAGCATTACCTCATTCTGTCAGTGAGAAGACAAAACCCAGTTGACCATCCCATGAACGATTAACCCTCTACTGAGGCAGACAGATGTGATCCAATAAGCATTAAAGGCTGACCCACAAAAACAAGAACAGGACCTACTCCATTCTTCTCTGTGGCATCTCAGCTTAATTGCCCAGAAACAGTCTTGCCAAGGAAAAAAACACCCCATCAATCTCCACAGGCTCTCTATATTTTTCATTCTTCACCAACAAGAAAATCTAATCATAATAATCTAAATCCCTCTCACTGAAATATATAACCATATCTAAATATGCCTATGTCCATGTCATTAAATAATTATCTCAGTTCTTAAGGTTCAGCTAAGGATTGGAGAGCTTCTGGACTCCACTCTCTTCTTTTCCTAACACATCATATTTAATTTGCATTTCCCAATGCATCATATTTAAAATGCATCCATTTAATTAACATATCCAAAATGGGATTTTTGTGTGTGTGATACTACTGGGGATTGAACCCCTGAAGATACACCCCTGCTCAGAGCCACTGACCCAAACCCCACCCTTTTTATTTTGAGACAAGATCTCACTAAGTTGCCCAGGCTGGCTTCAAACTTGTGGCTCTACTGCCTCAGCCTCCAGAGTCACTGGGATTATAGGGGTGTGCTACCACACCAGGCTCTAAAATGGTATCCTTAACCTGGACTCCACAGATGGGATTGAAAATTACCCTATTAAAATTCACATCTGTGGGCTGGGGTTGTGACTCAGCGGTAGAGTGCTCGCCTAGTGCGTATGAGGCCCTGCATTCGATCCTCAGCACCACATAAAAATAAATAAATAAAGGTATTGTGTCCAGCTACAAATAAAAAGTAAATATTTTTTTAAAAAATTCACATCTATGAGTATGTGTGCATGCACACAGGTATATTTCTGGGGAAAGGGTTAACGTCTTTAGTCATATACCTATGACTCAAAAAAATTAAAAACCACTGACCTAAAAGAATTCTGCAAAGTATTCATAAAAATACCACATTGATATTAGACCCATTTTTTCTTTTAATTAGAAAAGAAATATTTCAAACATAGAGAAAGTACAACCAATTATAACACATATATCTATTACCCACAACCATGATTTAAAAGGTATTACTCTTTTTCACATGCTTGGATACATCTCTGTCTTTCAATTAAAGACAAAATACAGGTAGGGGTTCAGCTAACATCCTGATTCCGCATCCCCTTCCCTTCACACAAAATTGTCTTGAAGTTTGTGTGTAACACTCCCATTATTTTTTTTCAAAGGGTAAAAGGCACATGTCCTGACATACCTTTAGGTCCTGATTTTCCACCATACTCTGATCCAAACGACTTTGAATTATAACCTAACATAAGACAAAAACAGATGATTATACAACTATGATATGAAATTCAGAAGCCACTTTGTTTGAAAAATATTTATCAAGCACCTTCTAGATATCAGCTCTGCACTGAGGCTACTTAGAAGAGGAAACAGTTCCTGCCTTCTGATGGAAACATAGGCCCAAAGTGCAGCAAGTAGAACAATATGAATAATGCTTAGAATAAGTATGTGTGTATTGGGAGCAGGGGATAAGATAAAGGGAGAAAGAAAAATGACAAGAGATGAAGTTGCAGAAGAAAATAGGGGCCAGATCATGAAGGGCCAGTAAGGATGACAGGAAATTGATGAAGTCTTATGCAAAGAGATAACAAAGTGAAGTTGGCCTCTACGAATATTATTCTTGTTATTTTATAGAAAACGAATTAGAGGACAGAAGAGGAATTAGGAGAACCAGTTAGCAGGAAACTAGAATGCTGGATGAATGCCTGAATAAATTAGTGGCTATGAGAATGGAGACAACTACATGTAGAGGGAAGGATCAGAAAGGATTCAAGGATGACATCCAACTTTCTGTTTGGGACATTGGGTAGATGCAAAGAGATGTACAGACATCCAAAAGGACAAGTAGTTTTGGCAGTTGGGTGGAAGACAGAAAAACTGTTCAGTTTAGGTCTCACTAAAATTGAGATGTTTATACCATATATAAATGAAAACAGTCAGCAGGCAGCTGCATGTTGCATATACAAATCTAGAACTCCAAAGAGTGTTTTGGACTGCAAATACAAAAATAAGAAACAGATGGGAAGTGAGTAAAGACACGGAGGCAGACTATACTGCCCAGGGGACTACATAAGACAGGTGAGGACCCAGAGTAGAACACTGAGAGGCACTAACATTGAAGACATAGTCAGTAAAAGGGAAGCTTCAAAGGGGAGCTGAATTTAAACTCTCTGAGGGTAGGGTCTTAGGCCTGTTTTCCTACTACCATATCTTCAGCACCTTGAAACAGCGCCATGCAGAGTCAGCAACAAGAGTTAGAGTCAGCAGAGAGCAGATTCCAAGAAGGTGTGGTCAGCAGAGTCAAATGCTAAGAATAAGTAAAATATATACACTAGATTAGTGTCCAGTAACAAAAGATGGAGCTCACCAGTTGTTCCTCCGGATTGGCTCCTGGTTCACAGAGGGCCAAAGGCCTTTCCTGTTCATCTTCAGGTAAGGATCCATTGAGCAACAAGGCCTGAATAACCAAAAAGGCAGAAAGAAACTTAAATTCCCATCAGATGACTTACTCTAGAGATGGGCTTGGTAAGCTCACTCCAACTGAAATCACAGTCTGGCTTCCTCCAGAAATCTCCTTGGTAATTTTGCCCCTAAATACTTCCAATTCCTTTCCTTGGGACCAGCTTCTTTTGTCAGACCCATGCTCTAGGCCTCTTTCATCTTTCTGTATACAAGTGAACCCTCTGCTCCTGGGCTCCTTAGCCCCAGAAGAAAATCTAAAAACAAATCTTCCTTTCAGAAGTGACAGAGCATATTTAAAACCAGAGCTGCTCAAACTGCTCAAACTAGAAAGGGTCTAAAAGCAGTAAAGAATTTTCCTGGATTAGAAAAGTGTATCATAATGACTTATTTGGAATACACATGACTTGAGATTGTTTGATTTTTGCTTTAATAATTCTTCATTTTTACTTTCTAAGGCAACCTGGATAGAATAAGAAGGAAGACTTCTTTACAAAGATGTCCTCATTCATTTTAATTCCAGGCTCTGTTTGCATTAGAATATTAGGGAGTTTCCAGGAATCCCAGGGACTTCAGAGGCTGAGGTAGAAGGATTATAAATTCAAGGCCAGCCTTAGAAACTTAGGAAGTCCCTCTTTTAAACTTTTACAAAATAAAAAGGACTGGGGATATAACTCAGTGATACAACACCAGTAGGTTCCATCCCCAGCACTGAAAAGAAAACAAAAAATTTAGTGACTGGAGGCGGGCAGTTAAGGAAGTCCAGCTTTAGGCCCCCTACGTGTGTTCTCTCAAGACCCTATCCTAATATTGTATTTATATTTCAAAACCTTATTCTTAAAGTTGAATGTCTCCCCAAATTGTATACTTTAGCACTCCCAAAACTTGGATCTGTCCCTTTAGGAAGGTATTATGAGACCTATCAGACCAGTGAAAGATTAAAAAATATGTTCCTATTTTATAATACAATTCTGTCTCAATTCAAAAGAGAAGAATTACAGAGGTTAAATCCTGGTTCAATTGATATAACACAATTTCATCATAAGTGTTGATAAAAACATCTTAAAGTCCAGCCAGTGATTGATCTACTAAATACTGCTAATAAAATATTAGTAAATCAAATTAATTTGGCTATTTCATAGGGTTATGGAGAGAAGCACAGACATGTACAAGACATGTATAGTCAGGGCTATACAGGGGCTAAGGGAGAGTAGCAATACAGAAATAGTGACTAATGGAAAATTGTTCAACAGGTTCTAACTAAGGCATACTAATAAATCGGAAATCCTCAATGTGGCTTAGCATGTAATTTGTTCATCCGTGAAAGAGTTAAGAAGTCCAGTGGATGCTGTGAGTCCTTTTGTATTCTACAATGGAACTGAATTCTCATTGTGATCATGTGCCTATGAATTAAAACTCCCATTTGCAGGGAATATTAAGATGCTGACTTTCTGCCTGTCAATTATCTTCTGTTTCTGTTTCAGCTGCCATCATATTTCTCCAAGGCTAAGAAATACAAACCAAACCAAGAGCTAAATTGATGGATATACATGCTCATATAATGCAAATTATCCTGGGAAAAACCTGACTGGCTACAATCCCAAAGTTCTCTATGGAATACGTCCTAGTCAAGCACAGGAAAAAAAAAAATCATTAAGATATTCCTTAATGGAGTGGCAGAAAAAGGACCTAAAATGCCTCATAAGCTAGATGTTTTTAAAATATGGAGCAAATAAAGGAAAAACCAACAACTTTCTTTGGGAATGTTTAGGCAGTAACATTCCTCCAAGCCTTCTCAGTTCCTGGGGATACATTATGCAAATTATTTTACCACAGCACCAATATCCTTTTTTCTTTAGGAACCCTTTGTGTCCCCACCCTGTTGCTGGCTGGCTGGGAGCACACCCTCCATTGCCTGCCGGCTGCCAGAGCCACACACATAATGTGGGCTTTGTTTATGTGTCCATAAATATTTCACAATTCAGGAGTGGTGCAGTTCCCAGCATAAACAGAAAGGAATATTCCTAGGCAATTTCAGGGTCATCAGCACACTATAAGGGCTCCCCCAAACAGAGATGGTCACACAAAGACAGAGGATTGAGGGGGTCATTCAGGATGGAAACTATGTCAAGTGGGTCACCAGTCTCTGAAGAGATTTGCCGAGCTGACACTGCAGGTACAGGAAAAACTGAAGGGCTTTGTTGCTCAAGGAAAACCTTTTCTACCTGATCATTGTGACTTGGCATCCGCTTGCAAATGCATTAGGAGTGGGCTAAATCCCTTAGCTAGAGGAAAATGGAAACCTGGCGGCATTACTTGCTCTTCTACCTTCCCTAGTGAAGAATTCCTGGGAGAAAATTCCTGACTATTCACAGTGCCATTCTTGGCTGAAAGCTGCAATTGCAGATTTGTAACCACCTAAAGAAGACTGCCTGTGAAGCAGAGTCAGAATAAGTGCTTGGTAGGGGCTGGTGATGGCCCCAGAGCTTGCAGAAATCCTAACAGCTGTGCTACAAACAGTCCACAAAGTCCATTTAAAGCACTCACATATTAGCAATTTTTGTTTTTGTGTACTACTCTATCTAAATTCCCTCATTCAACTCTGATCTCATATAAAACTAAAATCAGGGTTTTTTTTTTCAATTTATACTAGTGACTTAAAAATAATAATCAATTGGTGCACTGAAGACAAACAACAAGAGAAAGAGCTACCTGTAGTCCTGATATCATTTTCTTTGCTTCCTCCATTTCTTTTTCTAAATGTTCTTGTTGTTCCAACAGCTGTTCTTCCCATGAGGTCTCCAGATAGGTTCTAGGGCTCCCAGGTCGCCAGTCTCGGGATAATGGAGAGTCTGTCTCCTCTACAAAATGAAAGGAAGGGGTATAGTTCATGTTGGAGGACACTGATTTCCGGCAGAAAGCGTTCACAAGAGTAGTTTACAGGTTCAGGTCACCTGCTTTCTGAACCTGTCCTCACATACAAACTGAACTCTCCACCAGGTGGGGTTTGTGAGGCATAAGGAACTGACTGTTAACTCAGGTTTCAGGACCAGCGAAGCATCATTCACTCTGCTATGGAAAACCATTTCTTAAACTCTAAGGAAGCAGTAGGACTCCCACCATCAGAGTCTTAATTCTCTAGAATTGGCATTCCCAAAGCCTAAATTTGCCAGATACAAAGAAAGAAACTGTCAGGTGTAATGAAAACAAAATTCCTGTTGGTTATGCTAGAGTTTTAGAAGGGAGACCATGATTCAATATTCCTTTGATTCCTTTGCATCACGACTGAACCCCTTTCACATATAACACTGTGTGAGTCACACAAGAAACAAACTAATAAAAGCATGCTTACAAAACTGTTTAATATCACTCCCTGGTTTTATTTCCCTACCCTTAAGGCTTCTTTGCTCTGGTTTTCTCATCTATTTTATCTTAATTGTATTCAGAGTAACTTAAAATTCATCATGAAATAAAAAAGAGTATAAGCTCTTGGAGTAAATGTCTTTATTCATAAAAGGAGTATAATAATTCCTCTGGGTTGTGGTAAAGATTAAAAGAAGTAACTTATGAGTGCGGGATGTAGCTCAGTGGTAAAGCACTTGCTTAGCATACACAAGGCCCTGGGTTCAATCCCCAAGACCATAAAACAAACAAAACAAAAACACTTCTGTGCAGGGACTGGTGGTACCTGGTTCGGAGCAGGCACACAATAAATATTTTCCTCCTCCCTCTGTAAGGTCCCAGGAGTTTCTGACTCAGTAGTATGACTAGCTTTTTGGCCCTAATGGTAGGACTGAGGGGTAAGAAAGTATGGAAAAATTTAATTACAGCTTTTCTTCCAAGTACTTCGGTTTCATTACAATACTTATGAGTGAATGAAATTCAATGTAACTTTTATGCTATGCTTCTTCTTTGCTTTTCTTTATGTTTAGGTTAAAAAAAAAAAAAAAGGAGACCAATGAGACTGACCATGGAGAAGCCTAAACAAAGGGAAGTCTTTGTGGTCTCTCTGAAGCCTCATGTCGAGCCTGATGTAGACTTGCTCTCTACTGTGTGTTCTCCATTCATACTCTACATTCCTGGCCCTAATTTAAGTTAGAGAAGTACCAAAATTGTTTGTAAAAAAAATAGGAATAATAAAAGTTGTTGGGCTGGGGTTGTAGCTCAGTGGTAGAGTGCTTGCCTAGCACGTTTGAGGCACTGAATTCAATCCTCAGCACCACATAAAAATAAATCCACAAAATAAAGGTATTGTGTGTCCATCTAAAACATATATATATTTATATAAATTTTAAAAGTTGTTTACCTAAGTAAGGCTTCTAAATGTTCTAAAGGTCCCTAAAGTCCTTTCCTAATTAATAGGCAGCCAGACAGGAAAGGGCCTATCTATGCTGCTGCAAGATTTTTGACAGCTAGAATACCAGAAAGGACAGTAAGAGGATAACTACATTAATTGGCTCTTGGGCATTACAGCCCTCCACAGCTGACCCCACATGCACAGACCACAGAGAGGGACAAGGCTAGGGAGCTTAGAGGTAGATAATCAGGACCTCCAAACGCTTCAAGTTCAGAGACTTTCCTTGAGCCAACCCAAGCAGGCAGACAGACAGTACCTGTTCTGTTCTCTATTCCTTCAGAGGGAATAATCACAAAATCTGCCTTCTCCTCTGACTGTGTTATAATGGACTCACTCTTTGCACTGTGAATTGGACTGGGTGAAGTCAGGCTGTGATTGAAGAAAAAGGAAAAGAAGCAATTACTACAGTTGTTCAGAAGCCAACGTTCATTATTTATCCCAGAGAGAAGTCTTAATCATCTTACCCATAGTGCCTAACACAGTACCTAACCCATAGTAAGAACTATTTATTAGATGATAAACTTGTTTAATGAATAATCCAGTCCCTGAAAGTCTTTTCCACAACAAGGCTGCCTTTAAGCATCACTGATTAGAGAAGAAAATTATCAGGACAGGTAATCTAGCATTTAAATAACTTTAAGATTTTGTTTTGTTTTGTTTTTTATCTCTCACTACCTCCACCGTCACCATTCCCCAAGCCTGTGTTCTGAGACAAATGCCAGCATGTGTCCTAGTACCTTTTGGAGCTAGAAAAAAACTTTTATTTCCAATACACTGATCTCTTACACAAGCAATACCAGCAGAGTGATCACAGATCAGCTCTATCCCAAAAGAGATAGGGTCAGGATAGCTCGGGGTAGAAATTGCTGGAATGAATATAGTGTATACAGGCTGAGCAGAGGGGCAGTGATTTATCAACAATTGAGCCAGAAAATAAGAGTAAGATGTCAAAAGGAGAAAGATCTGCAAGGAGTAGTGAAATAAGGGTTCACTTGATTTACTCCCATCAAAGTAAATCATTACATATCTCTGCCGCAGTATTTTCAAATTGTCATCAGAAACCTCTCAATAATTCTTAAGTTCTGATATAACTACTATCCTTCAGAGGCACTGTTCAGATTTTCAGGGAAGAGGAATTTTAAATCTTTGGAACCACAACAAATAATAAGACTAGATGGGAATGTGAGGCTGATGCTTCGGTCTGAGAGGGATAAAGGAGTCTGAAGAGCCATTTCTCCCTGCACTGCACCTTGAGAATATCAGCACTGAAACAATCTCAGGGGCTGTGGGGTTTGCAGGCCCAGCCCCCTTATAGAATTCCTTCCAAATTCATCACCCAGACAACAGTGAAAGTGTCTAGGATTCACTGACCCACTTAATGTGCCCCTGAAGTCTTCCAGGCTAATCCTCACAACAACGATCAGGAGTTAAGATATCATCTTCCTAGAAACCCACAAAAAACAAGAGCCAACCACAGTGAAACAGCCAAAGACTTCAAAACCTCATGTAAAGCAGCCTGAGGACTAGTGTCCACAGTTGAAGTGTTTTGGTGGATATGACCTTAGTGAGTACTATATTCTGTTTCTTCTTAGAACTACAGGAAAAAAAATTTATAGTTTTGTGCTACTCCACATTAAAAAAAGTTGCTTAATAATATGTATAGATCTCCAAAAGGGGTAAGGAGGATGAGAAACAATGAGTGCTTTCCAGAACTCCTGTTCATCTCTCACCACCTATGCAATCTGAGTTTCAGACCAGCATGAATTAAAATGCTGGAAAAGCTCTCAACTAAGACTGCTATGTCATTTATAAGATTTATGACTGCTCAGGCCTCAGCATTTACCTCTTATAGAAATGGGAATCCAGGTGCAGAAAGAAACCTACAACAGCTGCTCCTCTTTGAGGAATAAGGCAGCCCCACTTTCTCAGATGACAAGGTGCTATTGCTGAGATGTTCCACTGCCTGCATCTGGCTGGACCACAGGAAGTAGGTGCCAGACAAAGCGAGGACGGGGACAGGGGTAGTGTGAACTTAGGATGCTGGAAAACTGCTTTCCTAAAAGCGCAGACGCATGCTCCGTTCCTCCTCCTCCTCGTAAGTGAGTTGTTCCCCATATAAGGGCAGAAGGGGGCGGATGCCTGGATAACCAACCCCTTTGGGGGCGTGGCAGAGCAGCCAAAGGAAAACAACATTTCTTTTTCTTGAACTGAGGCTGCCTGGGTGAGGCCAGAGGTAAGACCAGGAAACTAGATGGCCAAGTCAAAAAAGGGGAAAGACCTGAGAGAAAAATCCAGAGGCGCAGGCCAGAGCAGGGAGGGTGCTGCCTCCCTAAGTATTTCACGGATAAAGGAGATGCATTAAATCCTCTACCTCAGGTCAGAGAAAAGTATTTTAATGCTAATTAATTCTAAGACTTTGGCTCCTCCCGGACTAGTTTAAAAGACCTAAAATAAACAAAAAATCCCCTACTTGCTATCATAATCCTCTCTGAGGTCAGAGAACAAATGATTACAAATCAGGTCCAACTGGTAATATTTTTTAATTCCCACAGGTCTAATATCTCTCCAATGCTAATTTATTAGACAAGAAATCTCCCCGGCAAAGACCCTTCAAATTAGACTCAAATCATTTTTTTTTTTTTTTAGGCGATGGGCGATAAGGAACAATCCTGTCTCCTCCCGAAGACACCTCCTTTAGCAGAAACAGAAAAGGGCCAGTCCTTCCTCTATAGCTGGCTCCAGATGCCTAGAACCACCGTATTTTATAGTTATAATCCCAGGCCAGCAGCCTGTCCTCCCCAATAAAGCGCCACGACTGATCCCCGTCTCTGTGGCCAACAGCATCCTCCAGTCCTGGCCTTGTTCCCACCCATGCCCCCACCTGCAAAGCCCAAGTGGCTTCAGCTCACCATTTGACTTGGGTCCCTCCCATGGTCCCCCTCCTGGATCGGGCTTCAGCAAGCCTGCTTCTCTGGGTGAAGTGGAAGGCTGAGAGTCACAGCTCTCCCAAATCAGGCATGTCTCCCCGCTCTGGGGCCCGAAGAACGACTCCCGGGAGGAGCCAACCCGCGGAGAAGCTGGTCCCAATTGCCGGAGAAAGTATAAAGGGCAGAGGCCGGCGTCTCGGCACCAGAGACAGGGATGCTCCCGGGTGTGAAGCGCACTGTCCCAGCAGCTCAGACTCTGCCGCAGCCCAGCCTCGGAGGAAGCCGCCTCCTCTTGTCGACAGCCAGTTCCTGGCAGCTGCATCTTAGTCTTCGCGGCCGCGCGGCTCTGGGCATCCCCGGAGGCGAAGGCATCTCAACCCATCTCCGACCCGGAGAGAGGCTCCCAGCAGCTCGGGCTGCGCGTCGAGTCCCCAGCCGTGAGCGTGCGGGTGATCCCGCTCCGCACCGCCTCCCCTATCCCTCCCACCTCACCCGCCTCCCTCCCGAACCTTCCCAGGCTGTCACGTGCGACAAGGCAGCGCTGGGCTCGGACCCAAGCGGCTCTGGGCAAAGGTAGGGGTGCGAGCTGGGGATAGGGGCGGGGTCCGGGCAGCCGGGGACAGTTTGGAGCCCCAGGATAGGCGGGGGAAGGGCGACGGGTCGGAAGAATTACCCGGAGGGCTCGAGTGATCCTGGTCCTAAGAAGCGCAGATTGGAAATCGCTACCGCTCCACTGCGACCCCTCCCTTAGTGGACAGGGTCTAACGCGCTGGTTTAACCCGCAGGGAGCCCAGCCCGGCTTCCCGCAAGAGGGGGAAGCTAGCGGGGTGGAGACTCAGGCTGTCCCTAGGAAACCCGTTGGACGCCCATTTCCTCCCACCTTCCCCTCCGGCATTTTATGTTTTCTCCTCCCTCCCCCGCCCACTCCCCCCCCCCCCCACACCGCCGCTCTCCCCACCAAACTGAGGATCTTTTTGCTAGGATACAGTGACAGACTGGCCCGAGGTTATGGAGCAACAGGCGGGCAGGGCTATGCCCGGGGTGTTCCTGGAGCTCCAAGGAAAGGGGATCAAACCTAAGGGGCTATCCTTCCTATCTTCCGAGCCACTCTCCGGACCACCCACATCCCTGGGTCTCCTATCAAGTCTCCTATCCCCTTCAGGGGTACTCCCTGGGGCGGGGCGGTGGGCGGGGACAGAAGTGCCAGGGCCTCCTGGTCCCTGGTAGCTGTGAGAAGCCCACTCCTTCCCTGGGCACTTCCGGAAGAAAAGGCAGAATGTGAATTCTCAGTGAGCTGAGTGAGGGACTGGCAGAAGAAGAAAATGGCAAAACCAGGAAGGAGAAGAAAACAAAGGAGAATGAATACAAATTATTCTCCTCCAACCCCTCTCCTAGAACAGTGTCCTGAGCAGCCTTCTTTCCAGTGGGTCCCTCAATTACACAATCTCAGGAGCTCCAGCCCCAATCTAAGTCCTCCTGCTTGGAGGAAGGAAGCAGGTGCTTTCAGGAGGAGATCCATTTCCTCATCTCTGTCTAACTAAAACAGGCACTGTCATCAGAAGAGTAAAAGGCTTATAGACTGCAGGAAGCAACAGATCTCATTATACAAGGAAATATCTTTTGATTCTGTACCAACTGATAGTCCAAGCAGAAAGCAAAAAAGCAATGGTTCAGACTGTCATTAAAAGCACACATATTGCTCAGTGGTTATGGGCTTACTTTTGGGATGATGAAGATGTCTTCCAACGGGATAGTGGTGATGGCTGCACATTATGAAGATACTAAATGAGTGTGCTGGATTGTATACTTCAGAATGTTTAATGGTTGATGTATGTGCATTTTATAAATAAAAAAGAACACCTCTTAAATGTGAAAATTTTAAAGTTGATCAAGGTTACCAGTATATTAAAATGCTGGAAAGAGTTCCATATGACCTCAATAAAAATGGTCTGTCAAAATAGGATGGATTTTTATGAGGGAAAGACATAAGAGAAAAAAACAAATATATAGAAGGAACAATTAGGCTTAAACAGAATAGACTTCACTGGTTAAGGTACGAGAAAAAAGTCACTACAGCGTAAGTAAAATATGATTCATCAATAAAATGAAATTAGTAAATAAGCTAACATGATCTGAGGATGTGTTTGCAGGAGTGTGATTTACATGAGTCAGGAAAATAATCTTTTTCTTTCACTACTCTTGGCATTGGTCAGGCTTTTATTAGAGCAGTGTCCTGTTCTTGTCTCTGCCCTTGGCTCTAAAGGAGACTGAGACAGCCTCTCCACCTAGAGTCATAAACATTATTAGCCCACTCAAATACATACTGATCTGCCACCATTCCCAGCCCTGAAATTGAATATTGGAATACTCTTAATGCTTCAGACAACTCTGCTGAATTTCCTTTCTTGCTATGAGATTTATACAGCTTTCTCCAGACATAACTTAAGAGTCATACTCAGGATCCAAGACAGTGCAATGAAACTGGCGGTCATAAACACTGGCAGCTCATTATGAAGTCAAACAACAATAAGTGCTGGCGAGGATGTGGGGAAAAGGGTACACTTGTACATTGCTGGTGGGACTGCAAATTGGTGCAGCCAATTTGGAAAGCAGTATGGAGATTTCTTGGAAAGCTGGGAATGGAGCCACCATTTGACCCAGCTATTCCCCTTCTCGGTCTATTCCCTAAAGACCTAAAAAGAGCATGCTACAGGGACACTGCTACATCGATGTTCATAGCAGCACAATTCACAATAGCAAGACTGTGGAACCAACCTAGATGCCCTTCAATAGACGAATGGATAAAAAAAATGTGGCATTTATACACAATGGAGTATTACTCTGCATTAAAAAATGACAAAATCATAGAATTTGCAGAGAAATGGATGGCATTAGAGCAGATTATGCTAAGTGAAGCTAGCCAATCCCTAAAAAACAAATGCCAAATGTCTTCTTTGATATAAGGAGAGTAACTAAGAACAGAGTAGGGACGAAGAGCATGAGAAGAAGATTAACATTAAACAGGGATGAGAGGTGGGAGGGAAAGGGAGAGAGAAGGGGAAATTGCATGGAAATGGAAGGAGACCCTCAGGGTTATACAAAAGTACATACAAGAGGAAGTGAGGGGAAAGGGAAAAATAATACAAGGGGGAGAAATGAATGACAGTAGAGGGGGTAGAGAGAGAAGAGGGGAGGGGAGGGGAGGGGATGGGAGGGGGGAAAGTAGAGGATAGGAAAGGCAGCAGAACACAACAGACACTAGTATGGCAATATGTAAATCAATGGATGTGTAACTGATGTAATTCTGCAATCTGTATATGGGGTAAAAATGGGAGTTCATAACCCACTTGAATCAAAGTGTGAAATATGATATATCAAGAAATTTGTAATGTTTTGAACAACCAACAATAAAAAAATTAAAAAAAAAAAAAACACTGGCAGCTGGTACACAAATGTCAGCACCACTAGGCTGGGATCTGACAGGTCCCAGGCATGCCCCCATGTGGTCACAGCTAAGCATTGGCACTGAGGCTCCACAGTTTCTCTGTGCGAAAAATTCACCAGCCTCATTCACTTCCTGTCAATACAAAATCACATGCAATGCTGAGGGCTCTCTTTTAAAAGTCAAACTGAGGATAGGAAAAGAGGTTAGGGAGCTGGGGGTGTAGTTCAGTGGGAGAGTACTTGCCTAGCATGTGTGAGGCACTGGGTTCTATCCTTAGCACTGCATAAGAAAACTAAACAAACAGGGGGTTGGGGTTGTGGATCAGTGGTAGAGCTTGCGTAGCATGCTTAAGGCATTGAGTTCGATCCTCAGCACCACGTAAATGTAAAATAAAGATATTGTGTCCACTTGAAACTAAAAATATAAAAATATTTTTTAAAAACTAAACAAATAAATAAAGGCATGCTGTCCATCTGTAACTATAAAAAAATTTTTTTAAAAGAGGTTAGGGGGGCTGGGGATGTGGCTCAAGCAGTAACGTGCTCGCCTGGCATGCTTGGGGCACTGGGTTTGATCCTCAGCACCACATAAAAATAAAATAAAGATGTTGTGTCCACCGAAAACTAAAAAAGAAATATTAAAAAATTCTCTCTCTCTCTCTTTTAAAAAAAAAAAAAAAGAGGTTAAGTGTCTTAGTTGCTTGCTGTTTTGCCACCTGAAGTTGAGAACCCTGAGAATACCCAAAAATTCAGCTGTAGTATAAGGAATCTGAGGCCAAATTACCTGGAGCAGCTCGACTCAGAAGGAGACCTTTGCTGTCCTTCATACTGCTGCACCAGTGCCCGCACGCTCCAGTATGGATTCTCAATCTCCTCATCCATGCTACTGTTCCTAAAGCCAAAGAGTAAAAAAGGGGAGAGTATCAGTTCTTCAAATCAGGTCAACTCTAAAAGTACTGATACTCTAACACTCTGTGAGCACCATAAGCAAGAAAATGAATAAGGCAAAACCCCACCTCAAAGAAATCTAGTAGGGAAGGCAGGCCAAAAAAAAAAAAAAAAAGGAATTTCATCAATCTCTGCAACATTTCAGGATTGTTCTCTCCCTCATCATATGCATAATCCCCAAAGGACCTTCTGCCATGACTCTCCAGGACAGCTTAGTCTTCTGGATATATACCAGGGTAGATCCTCCCCCAGACGGACTAAAGTGTTACTCCTACATCTCTCTCTGTGAACCAGAGGAAAAACCGAACACATATAGTTCCCTTACATTCTAGTAACTGCAAATAATCATCTCAAACAGAAATAAACTTTTCTCTTGGAGTACCTTCCCAAACCTCCACTCCATGTTCTTTTCTGCAATGTGGGGCTATTTAAGTGATACTTCCAATTCCTGCACTAGTATTGTCTAAGAGAAGAAATACCAGAGAGAGATATCAGTTTCCATCCCCAGATTTCGACTCTTACCTCTGTCTGTATCTGAAGACATCCCGTCCTGATCGTGACATGTCATGGCACACATCAGCTAAAGCAGCAGCTGCTCCTTGAGCCACGGCAGTGGCACAATGTGGCTGGTGACTCTGTAGAGGGGCTCTGGAGTCTTGTCCTTGGCTCACCATCCTGCTAGAGCCAGGTTTGAAATGAGCTGCCAACGCAAGGACCAGCCTCATGATGGACTTCAGGTTTCCTTCCACGATATCTGAGGACCAAACAGACCAAGAAGTCCTGAGAAAGAAGCAGAGGCTGAAGACTTGCGTTACAAAGTGCTAGTGACACACAAGAAAGGAAGTCAAAGTCTTGGTCTTCACAAAGCCATGTTCAACAAAGGAGACAGAAGGTCTAAAAGCAATTACATAATAAGTACAATAACATTCTGATCACAGAAGTACAGAAGTCTTTGGGAGCTCAGAGTAGAGGCATCTTAGAGGCTCAGGGATATATTCTTAAAGGAAGTGAGTCCTCAACTGAGACTTGTTTGATGAAGAGTGGTCCATGAGATGAGAGAAGGGAAAAAAGTAATCTGGGAAGAAGGAAAAGTAGGTTTAAAGGGCCTGCAAGTGAAAGAGCTGTACTGTCTGACATAGGAGCCACAAGCCACATGCTGCCACTAAGCATTTTAAATTTCACTACTCTGAATTGAAATGTGCTCTAAGTATAGTACTTACTTAATACACACACAAAAAGTGAATGACAAATATCTCATTAGACTTAGTACAAAAATAGAATATGAAATATCTCAGTAATTTTTGTACTGATTTCAGAATCAAACAATAGTATTTTGGATATATTGAGTTAGATAAAGTATCATCTCATTAATTTTTTATAATATGGCTATTAGAAACTTAAGTTACCAGTGTAATTTATGTTATATTTCTGGGGCTCAGCTTTGTGGTGAAGGAACTGAGAGAAGTTCAGCATGGACAGAGTACTGGATCCAGAGGAAGAAGGGAAAGATGAGCAGTGATGGAGAAATAGAGGTTGGTCATACAGGACAGAGTAAGCCATAGGAAAGACTTTGGATTTTATTCTAAGGGCCCTCAATGCAGAGGAATAGCATAAGCATACGCATTCTTAGATCATTCTGGCTGCAGTGTGGAAAGCAGAAAAGGAAGGGGAAAAAATCAATGCAGCAGGACTAATTAGGAAACTGTAGTGCTTCTCCAGGTAAAAGACAATGATGCCCTGAATGGCAGGGTTCCCTTAAAAATAGCGACTTTACTGGGCCAGATCCCCAAGCCCACTCCACATGGGGACCAGATCAAAGATATGGTTCTCTAAATTCTGCCCTAGAAAAAAAGGCAAAAAGTAATGTGATAGAACTGGTGAAAATTAACTCAAGGTAAAATTCTCTTTATTTAGCCTCTTAACCTTTTAAATATACAAAACTTAGAAAAGGATTATTTGATACGTCCTCTGAGTGTTCTCAATGGTTCAGCATTTGCCCACCTGAATGACCCCTACACAAAGAATTCCAATAATCCATCATGAAAGGAAGGCTCCCTTCTGACTCCATTCTCAGACAGGCAATCAGACCCAGAAACTGAAGCTGCAACAGAACTAGATCCAGTCAATTCTAGAGAAACAGCAAAGGGTTAGGGAGCCTGTGTTTTCTAAGGACACCTATATTGCTCTTTCTTTGCAGCCTGGTCAAACCCACCTGGGTCATGTCAATACAGAAGAGGGCATATTCAGAGGCCACAGAGCCTGGAATGTATTGATATTAAGAAAATGCTATAAAATATTTTCCTTCTAGAAAACTGGGAGAAAGAAACATGTTATGATAATGTGAAATAATATTTGGTAAAAAAACCCAAGGAACTTGAAAAATATTATCTATTTCTATTTTTGAAAACTTAGAAATTCTAAAATTAATATAATTTTGTCATTTATTTTTGTACCATTAATTCTCCCATATATACTCAAGGAGATCTGTATCCAACTACAAAGAATAGAGAACTTCTATCTCCACCCAGGTTTCCACAGCACTCAGATTCTGATAATCACTCCATCCCAAGAGGATAACTTTTGTTATGGAAAAATGACATGAGGCCATTCTACAACCCTTGGCTAGCTGAGAATGTGGCTCCGTGGAAAAGCACTTGCCTGGCATGTATAAAGTTCTTATCTCCAGCACCAGGAAAAAAAAAAAGAGCCAGTGGCTACACAACCAAGAGTGTTGCTTCTAAGACTGGCAAACACCAGTAAAGCTGAGTGTGTTCATCCACCAAGGATGTGAAGAGACACCAACCTTTAGCTGAAGTCTGATGCATACGAATCTTTTTGGAGGCCACAAACTGTAGTACTTTCTCCACATTATTCTTCATCTCTTGTTGGTTACTTGGACTCAACTGTACCCCACTCAGCTTTTCTCCTGCTGTTAGAAAAGAAAAAAAAATATATATATATATACATACGTTACATGGAGAAATATTATCAAAATTACACGGCAGCTAGACACAAAGGAAGGGAATATTTGATATGAACAATAAAATTATTCAGAAAATATGAGTAAATTACATCCTGGTTTTTGTAATTTGGATGGGGAAGAAGAAAATGAAAGCCTTTTGGAGGGCCTTCAAATTTTTATATCTAGAAGAGGAGCAGCCGCCTGCTGAGAGGCTGAGCCGCCCCCTCCCCCTGCGCCGGCATAGTAGAGGGAACTGGGACCAAACACAGAGCAGGCCCAGCGGCCTGCTGAGGGGCAGAGCCGCCCCCCACCCCCCTCGCCTGCCAGGTAGGGGAAGGGTGACCACCGACAGAAAAGGCCCAGTGGCCCGCGGCGGGACAGAGCTTCCAATCACTCCTGCAAGGTAGGCGGGCCTGCGACCCACCGGCAGAAGAGGAGCAGCCGCCTCCTGAGAGGCTGAGCCGCCCCCTCCCCCTGCGCCGGCATAGTAGAGGGAACTGGGACCAAACACAGAGCAGGCCCAGCGGCCTGCTGAGGGACAGAGCCGCCCCCCACCCCCCTCGCCTGCCAGGTAAGGGAAGGGTGACCACCGACAGAAAAGGCCCAGTGGCCCGCGGCGGGACAGAGCTTCCAATCACTCCTGCAAGGTAGGCGGGCCTGCGACCCACCAGCAGAAGAGGAGCAGCGGCCTGCTGAGAGGCAGAGCCGCCCCCTCCCCCCCGCGCCTGCAAGGTAGTCGGAACTGAGACCACCATCAGAACAGGTCAGACCTGCAACCGAGAGACAGAACAGGCCCAGTGGCCTGAGGAAGGGTAGAGCCGCCCCCCCCCCACGCCTGCAAAGTAGGCGGACCTGCGACCCACTGGCAGTACAGCCCCAGAGGCCTGCAGAGGGGCAGTGCCGCTGCCTGCGCCTGCAAAGTAGGCAGAACTGCGACCACCGACAGAACAAGCCTAGCGGCCCGCAGAGGGACAGAGCCGCTGCCCGCGCCTCCAAGGTCGGCGGACCTGCTACCGACTGGCAGAGCAGGCCCAGCGGCCTGCCAGCGTGGTAGGCACATTGCCCCAATTGGAGGAGGGGCAGAGCCGCCGCCCGCGCCTGCGAGGGAGACTTTGCAACTATACAAGACCAATATAAATATATAGGGGGAAAATTCAATAGCACAACAGTTTCACCAAGAAGAAAGGAACGCGAACAGTATGAAGAGACAAGGAAAGAAAGGACCACAAGCATTGCAGGTCAACTCAACTTTAGAAGAGGTAATAGCTGCAGCTGATGGAATGTCAGATAAAGAATTCAGGATATACATGCTTCAGATGATCTGGAGTCTTAAAGAAGACATCAGACAGCAAAATCAGACAATGAAAGATCACTTCAACAATGAATTACATAAACAAATCCAAGAAGCAAAAGATCAACTATACAGGGAAATAGAGGTTATAAAAAACAAACAAACAGAAATCCTAGAAATGCAGGAAGCAATAAGCCAACTTAAAAACTCAATTGAGAATACTACCAGCAGAGTAGAACACTTAGAAGACAGAACATCAGACAATGAAGATAAAGTATTTCAACTTGAAAAGAACATAGACAGCTCAGCAAGACTGTTAAGAAACCATGAGCAGAACATCCAAGAAATATGGGATAACATCAAGAGACCAAATTTAAGAGTCATTGGGATACAGGAAGGAACAGAGTTTCAAACCAAAGGAATGAGCAATCTATTCAATGAAATAATTCGAGAAAACTTCCCAGACTTGAAGAATGAGACAGAACCCCAAATCCTAGAAGCCTACAGGACGCCGAATGTGCAAAATCATAAGAGACCCACACCTAGACACATTATAATGAAGATGCCCAACATACAGAATAAGGAGAGAATTTTAAAAGCTACAAGAGAAAGGAAGCAGATCACATTTAGGGGTAAGCCAATCAGGATAACAGCTGATCTTTCAACACAGACTCTGAAAGCTAGAAGATCCTGGAATAACATATTTCAAACACTGAAAGAAAATGGGTTCCAACCAAGAATTGTGTTTCCAGCGAAATTAAGCTTCAGGATGGAAGATGAAATTAAAACCTTCCACGATAAACAAAAGTTAAAAGAATTTGCAGCTAGAAAACCATCTCTTCAAAACATCCTTGGCAAAACATTACAGGAAGAGGAAATGGAAAATAACAATGAAAACCAACAGTGGGAGGTAGGACACTAAAGGGGGGAAAATAATCAAAGTGGAAAACAAACCATGTTTAGTAACATAAATAAACAAATATGGCTGGAAGAACAACCCATATCTCAATAATAACCCTAAATGTTAATGGCTTAAACTCACCAATCAAGAGACACAGGCTAGTAGAATGGATCACAAAACAAGACCCAACAATATGCTGCCTACAGGAGACGCATTTGATAGGAAAAGACATACATAGGCTGAAGGTGAAAGGTTGGGAAAAATCATATCACTCATATGGACTTCGGAAACAAGCAGGAGTATCCATACTCATATCAAATAAAATAGATTTTAAGCCAAAGTTAATCAAAAGGGATAAAGAGGGACACTACATACTGCTCAAGGGAACCATACACCAACAAGACATAACAATCATAAATATATATGCCCCAAACAATGGTGCAGCTATGTTCATCAAACAAACTCTTCTCAAGTTCAAGAGTCTAATAGACCACCATACAATAATCATGGGAGACTTCAACACACCTCTATCACCACTGGACAGATCTTCCAAACAAAAGTTGAATAAGGAAACTATAGAACTCAATAACACAATTAATAACCTAGACTTAATTGACATATATAGAATATACCACCCAACATCAAGCAGTTACACTTTTTTCTCAGCAGCACATGGATCCTTCTCAAAAATAGATCATATATTATGTCACAGGGCAACTCTTAGACAATATAAAGGAGTAGAGATAATACCATGCATCTTATCTGATCATAATGGAATGAAACTGAAAATCAACGATAAAAGAAGGAAGGAAAAAGCATACATCACTTGGAGAATGAACAATAGGTTACTGAATGATCAATGGGTTATAGAAGACATCAAGGAGGAAATTAAAAAATTCTTAGAGATAAATGAAAACACAGACACAACATATCGGAATCTATGGGACACATTGAAAGCAGTTCTAAGAGGAAAATTCATTGCTTGGAGTTCATTCCTTAAAAAAAGAAAAAACCAACAAATAAATGATCTCATACTTCATCTCAAAATCCTTGAAAAAGAAGAGCAAAACAACAGCAAAAGAAGTAGAAGGCAAGAAATAATTAAAATCAGAGCTGAAATTAATGAAATCGAAACAAAAGAAACAATTGAAAAAATTGACAAAACTAAAAGTTGGTTCTTTGAAAAAATAAACAAAATCGACAGACCCTTAGCCATGCTAGCGAAGAGAAGAAGAGAGAGAACTCAAATTACTAGCATACGGGATGAAAAAGGCAATATCACAACAGACACTTCAGAAATACAGAAGATAATCAAAAACTATTTTGAATCCTTATACTCCAACAAATTAGAAGATAGTGAAGGCATAGATAAATTTCTTAAGTCATATGATCTGCCCAGATTGAGTCAGGAGGATATAGACAACCTAAACAGACCAATATCAATTGAGGAAATAGAAGAAACCATCAAAAGACTACCAACTAAGAAAAGCCCAGGACCGGATGGGTATACAGCAGAGTTTTACAAAACCTTTAAAGAGGAACTAATACCAATACTTTTCAAGCTACTTCGGGAAATAGAAAAAGAGGGAGAACTTCCAAATTCATTCTACGAGGCCAACATCACCCTGATACCTAAACCAGACAAAGACACTTCAAAGAAAGAAAACTACAGACCAATATCTCTAATGAACCTAGATGCAAAAATCCTCAATAAAATTCTGGCGAATCGGATACAAAAACATATCAAAAAAATTGTGCACCATGATCAAGTAGAATTCATCCCTGGGATGCAAGGCTGGTTCAATATACGGAAATCAATAAATGTTATTCACCACATCAATAGACTTAAAAATAAGAACCATATGATCATCTCGATAGATGCGGAAAAAGCATTCGACAAAGTACAGCATCCCTTTATGTTCAAAACTCTAGAAAAACTAGGGATAACAGGAACATACCTCAATATTGTAAAAGCAATCTATGCTAAGCCTCAGGCTAGCATCATTCTGAATGGAGAAAAATCGAAGGCATTCCCTCTAAAATCTGGAACAAGACAGGGATGCCCTCTCTCACCACTTCTGTTCAACATAGTTCTCGAAACACTGGCCAGAGCAATTAGACAGACGAAAGAAATTAAAGGCATCAAAATAGGAAAAGAAGAACTTAAATTATCACTATTTGCAGATGACATGATTCTATACCTAGCAGACCCAAAAGGGTCTACAAAGAAACTATTAGAGCTAATAAATGAATTCAGCAAAGTGGCAGGATATAAAATCAACACGCATAAATCAAAGGCATTCCTGTATATCAGCGACAAATCCTCTGAAATGGAAATGAGGACAACCACTCCATTCACAATATCTTCAAAAAAAATAAAATACTTGGGAATCAACCTAACAAAAGAGGTGAAAGACTTATACAATGAAAACTACAGAACCCTAAAGAGAGAAATAGAAGAAGATCTTAGAAGATGGAAAAATATACCCTGTTCATGGATAGGCAGAACTAACATCATCAAAATGGCGATATTACCAAAAGTTCTCTATAGGTTTAATGCAATGCCAATCAAAATCCCAATGGCATTTCTTGTAGAAATAGAGAAAGCAATCATGAAATTCATATGGAAAAATAAAAGACCCAGAATAGCAAAAACAATGCTAAGCAGGAAATGTGAATCAGGCGGTATAGCGATACCAGACTTCAAACTATATTACAGAGCAATAGTAACAAAAACAGCATGGTACTGGTACCAAAACAGGCGGGTGGACCAAT